CCAGAGATAACTGGCAATAGCAGACAGCAAGAAGGGAAGTTGTGTCGTCCGTACTGCGCACTGAACCAGGTTGTGTCCTTATTCAATCTCAAGTAATAACCATGATGTGAAGTGAATTCATTATTTTTACTATTTTACAGTGAATGTATAATTTGATATTTTTCGGCCGCCACAAGTCTAGGTAATAAATAAACAAGCATCGAACAGTAGTTAAGAATATCGATCGTAGTAGAATAAGTTGCTATAATTATTATTTATGTCAAGTAATCGAGATTTCTGTCAAGTAGAAATCAATAGACGAACTGTAAGAAGTAAACACTCAAGAATACATATAACATAGATGAGATGTACTAGAAATTCCGTTGAATTAAGAGCCATGGAACAACAAAAATATATATAATAACACATTTTTAAATGAACTGAGTATAAAAATAACTGAAACGGAAACTATGACAATAATATTTCCTAAAGGATAAGAAAAATTTATCTGTTTGATTGGTTGGGTGGATTTTCATCATGAGCTGACATCAATTAGAGTACCTCTGGAAAACCTGGGTCTACTAGACAGCTGATTCATCAGCCTAGTTTAAGATTAACCCTTCAGCAGTACGCACCGACCACCACGATTCGAAACCACGACCTTTTGGTTGCAATGCCACTAAGCTCGTAGACAATAAGCCACAGAAACGTGATCCAGTGGCCAGCCCATGAATTCTAAATTCTGTCAATAAATGGCATAGCGCGACCATGTCGCAATGTCTTCTTCGATAAGTTACTGCCTCACTTTCAACCTGCTGTATCCTAATGGCCACGACTTCCCACTAGAGCCCCAGGTAACAGTCGCTAGTGTGCATCAGATCAATTTTCAATACTTGAAAGGTTGGATAGTTTAGGGGCAAAGAGTATCTGTGATATGAAAGCAAACAGAAGTGATTTTGCTTCACTATGCTACGAATAATGTTGCGTCGATGGTTCAGAGGTAGGAAGCTCGCCAACCACTTATGTGGCCGGAGGTTCGATTCCCGGCTGACGCATTCTTATAATTTCCCAAGCTGGTAGTAAGTCTGGTACAGGGGAAAGTTAGGATGTGAGGCTAGCAACCCCACCCGTAAGAAAAATAAAACCACTGCCCTCACTTAAAGCCCTATGATCCATTTGGGACGTAAAAGAACAAAAGAAGTAAAAATAAGTGCAAATGACGTCATCCAAGCCGACGACAATATCTCCAGTTTATTGTTCACTGAAAGACAAATACAAAAATCATAGGTCAAACGAATTGGATTTCTGTTAAAAAACCAATCGTCGGAAAGAAAGAAGGACATTTAACTACTGCTATTTCTTACGCTCAGCTCTGTAAATACGTGTTTGAAGAATGTTAGCTTCACTTCCGTTTGAAGGATAGTAAAGATGATGTGTAGACTCAAGAGTAGAGTTCTTCAGAGAAACGTGTATGGTGGATAACAACACAATTTTAAAAACATCCGCCGTCTGAGTTTGAAATATTTACTATAATTTCAAAGTTTAATAGCAAGTTCTCATTTAAAATATATTCAAGTGTAAATCCGTTCATAAATGTCGAAAGACAGTGAAGTGAGCGAATAGATAGGTTAATATATTTTTTCTTAAAAACTGTGTATGCACAACTAAGTTGTATTCATAATTTGAGCTCGTGAGTGTTTGGTTAATTTCAAGATGGTTTTCTGACATCATTTAGAAGATTATTAGAAAATAAAGGGCATTGAATAGTCATTTCGCCCTATTTCTGAATTACTCAATAATTTACATGCATGATCCAACCAGAAACTGGAATTAAAACCTTCAGATTACTAGGCAAGTATGTTAACATCCAGTTAGCAGTTTAATATACAGTGGCGCACGAATCCTAATTCCTGTAATATCGTCAAATATTGGTACTTCTAAAACATTGTGATTAGGGATTACATTTCGTGACACCTTACTTAATGAACTCCTTTGATAATTACTTTTTACTTCCATTTTAATTGCTAGTGAGCATGTGTTGGATGTGAAGATATTTAACTAAGAGATGGGAGTAAATGATCACTGTTTCAATTGAATCAAATATAATTGGGACGAATCATCTTTCATATATTTATGTTTTTTTCTCAGTAAGCCGAAAAGCGAAGACTGATGGTCACAGATATCTACTCCTGCTATACTTCAGGGTGTTTGAAATGCTTCGACACTTCAACCAGGCACTCTTTCGATAAGCTTGCCTCAAAATGATCGAAATGACTATCCGGTGTCTAGATCAATTTTGATCTGGCCGGTGCACAGTACTGCTTAATGTGACTGGTTTCTAACTTCTCAGATAAACCAGTATTGTGTTCCTTTGCATTAGTATCTGTCTTCTGGAGACTATCTAAGTGATTGCATATCAGGCCCCAAAAACCTGAAATTTATATTTGCTTGAAGTGTCTATGTAAGCTGTAGTTTATCTGAACAGCAATGATGTTACTACAATGAATAATAAGTGCAAATTTAAATTAGATTTAGTGAAATAACATCGTATGTTGTTACATTTTTTATGGATATATATCTTTTTGGTTGAAATCTCTAACTCAGTGTATAGTTTTAGTTACTATTATTTTATTGCTTAACTTTCCGAGTGGAACATATGGCTTCAAGCAAGAGCTTCGAAGTTTCCATAGTAGTGGTTTCATTTTACGGGATGGGACTGCTAGCCTCACACCCAACCTTCATCCTTTACCAGATTTACTACCGGCTTAGTGAGTTCTAGGAGTGCGTCGGAGGGGTATCGAATCCTGAACCACCTGAGTGGTTGGCGAGCATTCTGTTGCTGAAACACTGATGCCAGTGTTTAAGCGAATGCGTCTTTTCAGGTATTGGTTTTGTAGGGATTTTGTTTCATTTCATGGAGGATTTCATCATGAATTGATATCAGTTAGAGAACCACTAGAAAACCTGGGGGTACTGGACAGCTGTTTCGTCAGCCTAGTTTAGGACTCTTCGGAAGTACGCACCCACCGGGTTTCGAAATCAGGACCTTCTGGTTGCAAAGCTAGCGATGTCGTAGACCATTGAGCCACTGGGACTCGATCCAATGACTAGCCCATGAATTCTAACTTCTGCCATTTCATGGCATAGCTCGACCATGTCGCAATGTCTTCTTCGATGAGTTAATGCCTCATCTTCAACCTGCTGCACCGTACTGGTCACGCTGAAAATTAATCTGATGCTCACTAGCGACTGGCCATATTCAGGCAGTTAACCTGGGGTTCTAGTGGGAAGCCTTGGCCAGTAGGGTGAAGCAGGTTGAAGGTGAGACAGTAACTCATCGAAGAAGATATTGCGAAATGGTCACACTATATCGTGAATTGGCAGAAGTTAGAATTCATAGGCTTAACACTGGATCAGGTCCCTGTGGCTCAATGGTTTACGAGCTCGGTGGCCTTGCAACCAAAATATCTTGGGTTGAAACCCTGGCTGTGGGTGCGTACACCTGATGGGTTAGTCCCAAATTCGGTTGATGAAACAGCTATCCAGTAGACCTAGGTTTTCTAGAGGTACTCCAATTGATGTCAGCTCATAGTGACGGAATGCGTTTTTTGTTTTAGTGATTTCTTGTCTTCAAGTTATGAAGTCATGAAGATCCATTGATATAATTATGAATTATAAACAAGACGTCACCCACTTACTAAGGCTGTCTCACTGTACCATATCAGGTGACCTTGTTCAGTATAGAATTTCTGATCTAGAATTTACAGTTATGTAATAAAATTATTCATCATAGGATCGAAGTTCAAGTAGATGAATTAGTGGATTAGAATCAAGGTGATCAGAATCATAATAGTAACAACAACAACAGTAATGGACTCATGAAAGCGTCTGAAATATGAGTGATTATTTAAATAAATTCAATATTGGCAGATGTCCATTATTGTTCTGGTCGGCAATTCCACACTCTTCATTTTCATCTCAATAATCTATTTTGTTATGGAACTTTGAAGAAGTTGTAATGATTGTGGGGTGAGGAAGAATGGAGCACAAAGAAAGCAATAGAAAATAAAAAGAACACACAAAGGCATCAACGTGCGCTTCTTTTCGTTTCAGGTTCTCATCGCCGTCACTGGAGACAAACAGCGACGACAGTGACAGCATGTAAGGTATCCATCTATCGATCGATTATGAGCAATTCAGTCGATTTTTTGAGGGTTTAAAAGCCCCGCGTATTGTTCACATTATTATCAATATCAAATCTATGATTTCCCATTTTGTGTCATCAATTGGTGGTGCTGTAGGAACAACAACTTGGAGTTTTTACCGACAATCGGATCTCCGCAGTGACCACTGATGACTAATCCGTTTCCAAGATCATCACCTTCAATATCACCTTCGACAGTGATGCATAGCTTACTACTCTTATTATTATCATTAATATTTTTATTAATAATGTTATTACGGCAGGTATTCGTATTCAAGCCAAGATACCTGAGTGGATGCAGTTGACGAACAGGGAATTCCAAAAGAAGAATGAAACCGGCAGACAGGAGGATGACACCACAGACATACAATGACCAAACATAGGAACCAGAGAAATCAGCGATAACACCCATATGAAATTGTCCTGGAGAATGACTAATCCTAGAGTGACCATTGTAATGGCAAGCGAACGTGCCAACTGACCGGAACCAACCCAATCTGTCAGTACAACAACCATTTGTGTCATAGCTTTACCATTGCATATCCCGTGGATAGTGAAACAAAGGTAGTACAGCATTTTAATTGTCACCGAATCATCATTCTGTGGACTGTCTGCATGACATTTTTCCGAGAAGAGATATAGCTGCGAGAATGCGAAGGCATTCAACCCTTCAACCAACCAAGTAACACCCAACAATAATCCCCGTCAGGCCGATACAAATCGTCCTATCAGTTAGCCAATCCACACCAAGACGTGTGATGAGATCTCCGATTCCAGACAGCGCAATAGCCCGATTGATTGTTGTAGAACTTAGTACTTATTCCGTTCCAAACAGAGGCGCGATGAACGATACACTCACATGGCGAACATCTCCAAACGCTTTAGCCACTATATATACAATCAATAATGCACGTGTTAGCCGTTTCGCATTAGGAGATTCTGACGACCCTACAGAAGAAGAGGCTTTTGACACTGTGGATGTCGATAAAACATCCATTGACGAATCAATATTCTTCCCTGAATGAATAACATCTCTTTGATCATCTAACCCTGAGAAAAACTTATCCACCGGGTTATTCAGCGTTGTGTTTTTAACACCAACACTTTCATCTTTACCATCTTGTGAATTGTTTAACGAATCCATAACAGATAACAACTGTTTGCCTTCTTTCGATTTCGCCTTTTTATGTGAACTATTATTTTTACTTGTTTTATTATTATTATTACTATTACTATTTTCCGTTGTTTTCCCATCACTGACAACCGCCAGTTGGGGGGAATCTGGATCAATGACATACCTTGGCATCAATGCGACAGTCACAAGTAAATGTAAACAGATAGCTGCCATAACAACTGCCCCACCTCTACTTCCATATGTCACATTCAAATGGGTAATCAGTGTGGGAAATACCATTTGAACACCAGTCACACTAATCCAATTCGCCAGGCCCAAATATCGTTTAAAACAGCAACCGATAACAGCGAATACAGTAAAGTATATATATATGACAGTGATGCACCTACTCCAAAACCGACAGCAACTACCCATAGTGCAAGACTCGGTGAACAGGCAGCAATTAGCAAGCTGATATACGAACCAAAAGCACCCACCGCCACGACAGGTCAACTTCCGTACGGTTTAGAAAGATGATAATTAACCAGAGACAAACAGTACGTCGCCTTCCTTCATCTTGTATTTCTTGTGTTCTTTCACGTCTCCCATATATCTCCATAACTCTGTATCATTTGCTTTCTCTGACATCAAATGATGTTGTTATACTGACGAACGTCTCCTTCGATACTGCTGATAAGTCTTATCAGTAGCGCTGGCCACAATATGACTTTCCTCACTTTACTTTTCTAATTTTCTTCTCTCAATTCTCTGAAGTTGTAAAGAAATAACATTAATTGACGAATAAATTGGGAAAAGTATTTGGACTCCACTCTAATCAATATATGTAACATATTAAATATATGCAGTTTTCCATACACCCCTTTAGTTTGGTTCACCAGTCAAAATTTCAACTTTTTTCTACTGTTTTATGATATCCGTGGTAAGCCTGAGCAGAAAACTACATAAATACCTTATAATAATATCAAAGGACAAATTATTTAATGCCTTACTTTATATACTACTGCTTCCTTGCAATGAGTAGTTAAATACCATTCACATCAACAAGTGGAGTTTGTCAGCTAGGTAGAAGTAAGCGAATGTTCATCATGAGTACCAACTACTCAATATTAAATGCAATATTAGGCTATTAGTTTAAACTATTAAATAAAATGTCAGCTTTTGAAATTCGAAATGTTTTTTTTTGCTTAAATGACACTCCTGTTCACGTTTAAATCGATTATTTCCTTACAAAGTCATATAACGTTTTAGTGCTACTGACACTCTGAAGCAAAAGGCTGCAAATACTTATTGTGAGTTCAACCAATTTCATAAATCTGTCATTGTGAAAAGTTTTAAAGTGACATGGAGACATAATCATTACATTAAATACTTTCTGTAATTACATACAGATATACTAGACAGTTGCTTCGTATTACTAATTTTTTTTCGAGTTTTACCATAGATTGATGTCAGATAGAGAACTATTGAAAACCAGGGAGTACTGGAAAGTTGTTTCATTTTAGTTTGGGAATCATCAGCAGTACGTGCCCTTTGAGTTTTGAGCCCAGGATCTTTTGGTTACAATGCAACTATTCCCTGGTTTTCAGTGGTTCTCTGAATGATATCGATCTGTGGTGTGTCTTGGAAAACAAATCAACTCTTTAAAATGACTGATTTTATGAGAAAGTGACTGAGTACATCTATGTAATATTATTATTGTTGTTTCCTTCATTCTTAGAGGAACATAGGGCTTCAGCTCCACCTCTCCATTGAGTTCGGTTATCCGACAACGTTCTCACCTGGCTCCACGTCTGCCTACATGCTTTCATCTCCTCTTCGCATCACAACCTCCATGGCTCCCTTACACTGACGACCAACTCGCCGCTTCCCATTCGGGTTCCACTCGACCGACGGCCTGGCGTGTGATGTCACTCACTTGATGGCTTGTTTTCTCAGATTATGACCAGTCAATCCCCATTTCTTCCTGTATATTTGTTACACAGTAGATTCCTGCTGGGTTGGTTCGCTCATTGCCAGAGATCCCTCCCTGTTGCTGATCTTTTCTGACCAACCATCTGATCATCAGTAGTATCAAGCGAAGACAGCTGTTGATGAAGGTGTGTAGTCTGTTTGAAGTGCCCCTTGTGACGCGCAATGCAAGTCTCTTATCCGCACAGTAAGTAGCAGTGACTTCAAATTGGAGTTGGAAATCCGGATCTTATTTTCATTTACATGTTGAGTGCTGTTAATCTCCTCCACAAGGACTTGAGAGTAATGAAAGCTTGTCTTGCCTCCCCGTTCCTCGCTGCTTTGATATCCTCGTCAGCTCCGCCTGTCTGTAGTTGAAACGATGCTTCCCAGGTAGGTAGGTAGGTAGGTAGGTGAGTAGGTGAATGAGGTTGCTTCTTCCAGATTTCTCCACTTATGCTGATTGTTATCTGTTGTTGTTGCTGCCATAACTGTTGACCAGGATCTTCATCACCTCTATTTTCTCTATGTTCACCTGAATTGAAGTCCCATGTTTGATGTTTCTTCTGTATACTGGTTGCTTTCCACTTGCATATCTTCCAGTTTGTGGGAAATCAGATATATTTCATCGACTAAGCACCCAGAACAAAATTCCTACCATTCATATACTTTTATTCATAAATACATCGATCCTGCATCCTTTCACTTAGACAGTTTTTCACAAAAGTAATAGATTTATGTCCAAAAATCAGGTTATCAGAAAGGGAAGAATATTTCACCTGGAATTCTTATGGGATCGCTAATTTCTTTTGAATATTGTAGATTTTTAAATTTGTAGTATTCAAGTTTTAGTCATTTAATAGTGTACGCACTGTTAATAAACTTTGTATGTAAATTCAAGCTTTATGAAGTACTGGAGTCATTTATATTTAATCAATATCAAGTGAATATGGCTCAGTATATATCACAAGGCAATTCATACAGTCATGGTAAGTTGTCGATTGGAAATTTCTGTAAAAACGAATTCTCTTTTTCACCAATGAAAACTTTTAACTAGAATTTTCAACTATTCTTTGGTAAGTGTAATACATAATGTACCTTTTTGCACAAGTCTGTTTTTTTAAATATAAAAGATTCTTTGAATATAAGATGTCGTTGATGTGACATAGTGTGAGGAAGAAACGTACCGACTTCGTTTCAAGGATTGAACATTCGTAGAAAATATATTTCTATATTGAAATAAATGACATTTGTCGGAAATTAGGCGGAATAATTTAAGCTTAAAAGTTAGGAAGAAGTTTTAAATATATCAGGTTAGTTGTTGATTTGTATAGGTGATTCTCAGACTGTTCAGATATAAGCCTCTATGTAATAAAGATAGATATTAGAGGAAGTAATTTCGCTTCACCTAGATAAGAAATGTAGGCAAAACACTGCTAAGTTTCGACAATACAATAAGAAGACGTAGTTTATCTGAAACGTGTAATGTATTAGAGCAACACGTTTCGGACATTCTGATCATACTTGTCATAAACAGTTTTCATAGAAAGGAAGAAAGCATGAATAATTACATTACAGGTCAGATTGTGTACAGGTCAAGGTCACAAGTAATGGGTAGGAAGACGCAAAAGGTGTGGGTAAGAAAGATAAAAGAGCAAGGCAAATAAGGGGCTGAAAATATTATGAAGTAAATTGGTTCTTGGTTCTAACTTGGATTATCAAGGCAGGTTTAAGGTGATAACAAATAACTTTTGGACACATAAGACAGGTTTAAGTCTCTTTATGGCTAAGGCTTCAATGAATTTAAGTATGTGGCCCAACTTGTTTTATATATCGGCTTAAAGGCATTGTTGAAATCAACCTTGTGACCCGTCTCTATAATATGCTTCGCTATAGATGATGTTGGACATCTATTTCCGGGGTCAATTGTGTCTGGCGATTTCATTTGTTGTTGCAGCCACTTTGGAATGTGTTCTGTAGCCCTAACCTGTAGTGACCGATGGGTCCTCCCAACTGACCCCGGAAATAGATGTCCAACATCATCTATAGCGAGGCACATTATAGAGACCTGTCATAAGGTTGATTTCAACAATGCCTTTAAGCCATATATAAAACACGTTTGGGCTAAACACTTAAATTCATTGAAGCCTTAGCCATAAAGAGACTTAAACCTGTCTTATGTGTCCAAAAGTTATTTGTTATCACCTTAAACCTGTCTTGATAATCCAAGTTAGAACCAAGAACCAATTTACTTAATAATATTTTCAACCCCTTATTTGCCTTGTTTTTTTCTCTTTTTTACCCACACCTTTTGCATCTCCCTACCCATTACTTGTGACCTTGACCTGTACACAATCTGACCTGTAATGTAATTATTCATGCCTTCTTACCTTCTATAAAAACAGTGTACGACAAGTACTCGTGTGTGATCAGCATGTCCGAAATGTGTTGTGCTAATACATCGCGCGTTTCAGATAAACTACATCTTCTCCTTGTGCTGTCGAAATTCATAAAGGGAACCAAGTGCTTTAAATTTTTGAAGAGAAGTCTCTGCTAAATCATTGTATCCAATGCCACACGAAGATACAATAGAAGGTGGCAAATTAAAAGTCCTGAAATTTTACATAGTAGGAGGTTTGTAAGCGAAATAACCGAAAATAAAACAACGAGAACGGTTCAACACCAATCTCCAGTACAAGGAAACTTCTACCACAGTTAAGATTAGTCAGAATGATCTAAAACTGTAAAAATGAACCACTAATATTATGGACTTTGATTTGTTTATGACCCGTGAGTTGTGTTCAATAGGCCACCCAGTAAATAATACTGTCTCACTGTGTGGTCTGTATGGGAAAATAACCAAACAGAGAATTAAATACTGCAACATTTTTCAAGTTTTAGACATAGAATTATTCAAATGAGTTTATTTCTACATTTATGGGGCACATATAAAGTACTACCTGCCATTTGTTAGCGGATGCTTGTAGTGTAGTGTAATATGTACTTAGTTTCGCATTATCTTCACCACCACTACCCGAAGAACTACCATGGATACCATTCATCCAAACAAAACCGAAAGTTTTGAATGCAGTCATATGACACATTCATTGTACGTAGAACACAGGATATAAATAGATTTGGCGAACATATTAACTCAAAGGTGGAGGCAATTCAATTCATTTATGAATTGGAAAGTCAGGAAGAGAAATTCCAATGTTAGATTGCAGTGTAAAAAGGAAAGAAGGTGGGAAGTTAAACACTAGTGTTTATAGGAAACCACACATTCAAATCGATATTTGGACTTCCGATCATCCCATCCTATGTCAGTCAAT